TCCAACGACATTCCGGAGAGTTTCGTATTCTAGGCTATAATCTAGTCAGCTTCCTAGCAGCACATCAAGAGTATCGCGCAAACGCATGAACACGAACACACACGTACAGGTATACCATGAAAGAAAAAAAAAAACAGATAAAAAGTTTGGAGGCATTAGCGTTTCGTCGTTCTTTTTTATATGAAAAGATTGTACTAGGCTCTTGGTTGATGTGTCCTTTTCACGCATTAAAAAGTGACGTTCATGCGTACCAAGCTTCTTGTAAATAGTTCCAGAATCTTTTCCACCAACCAGCTACATATCTATTTATCTTTCACGAACTTATTTCAGCTCACTGTATTATACTTCATAAACGACCACTTTGTTCACTTTTATCGCGGCCTATTCTTTCATTCTATTACTCATATTGCTTCCAAGCTTTCTGTCGGTGGTGTACATACATACATGCAATACACGAAGGGACAGACACAACGCGCAAGTTGTATCAATATAAAAGAGGCGCGTTTTAACGAGAAACGAACGGTCGCGCGTTCTCTGGTATACATACGTAAAAAGGTACACATGCACAGACACAGAAAAGTACACGCAATGTTAAAACACGTATAAATACACAGGCAGAGGCTTTAAAGGTGTGATCGTCGGTGGCCAAGGGGGTGGGACAGGTAGATCGCGCGTTCGATTCGACCAGCTTTTCTTCTCTTTTTCTCCGACGATCGATCGACCGCCGCCGATCCTCGCTTCCGCCTCCGCGTACTCTATCGATCTCTCGCTCAAGCCCTTTCCACGCGGTAATCGAACGAGTCACTCTCGTTCCTGCCACGCGAACAGGGCATTCACCAAAAAGTGGCTGGGAGAAAAACCGACTCTTTTGTCTCGAAATCGATCTTGGCTTCGATACGCTACGTTCCACGAGCCACCAATAGCTTGTCTTTTTTTCCTACTCTTTACCGAGAGCTTTTGTGTTCATCCACTGCTATCCATCGTCGCCGGTACCCGCCTAACCAAGGGAAAAGCTAAAGGTTTTTGTCGCGTGTATGCGCGCACGTGTCTTTCCTCCCTTTTCATTTTCGCTTTTCTTTGATTTTTATTTTTAAACAGTCTTCCCGACGGTAAATTCCAGTCGAGACCGAGATCGATATCGAGAACGGAGAGTTAGTCGGGCACAGGGCCATTTACTTTTCTCATCTACGCCAGAGGAGACGTAATATATATATTTATTCGGTCGTCCGTACGTCGTAACGTTTCTAAATTTTGCTTCGTAAGACTGTACATTATACGCGACTTAGCGAATGTTAAATCACCACGGATCGTAACATTTGTACGAGAAAAAAGAAACCTATAAAACGTGCATTAACCTAATCGCGAGAACACGACGGGCCGCGTGCATCTTTCTATTACCTACCTGCGACACCTATTTCTAATTAACTTCGTTTTTCTTTTTTTACCAACCTCTCCAAGTCTTTAATACTTTAACACTTCAACCGTTCACAGTAAAAGCGTATTCATTCGGGATTGAATGGATTACGCATCTTTTTTTCTTAATACGATCTTTAATAAAATCGACGTTGACTTTAAAAGGACGAACGAAGTCGTCTTGGCTGGTTAAGAGGTGAACCAATGAATTCTGAATTAAAACGCGCCATTAACCACCAGTCTGTCCCGCGAAATAAAATAAAAGGCATCAGAGGGGCTATGGTTAATGGAGTAAGTCCCTAGAGAACGCTTAGCCAGTCAGATTAACGGAAGATTTGCGAGCTGCAAATTGGGAAACGCTAATCTCCTAGAGGAGCGCTCTCGCCGCGGCCCGTAGACGTTGCTTTGGTATCGCTTTTAATTACCATTCACCCCTCGATTGGATTTCGCAATTGTCCGTGTACGTGCCACCGGTCGTGAGGCTCTTTCCTGAGCGCGTAACAGTCGGGGCACGTGCTTCCTCGCGTGAATGCAAGCGCAATCGCATCTGTGCCATCGTTAGTTACATCGTAGAAACGCGTCCACGTTCGTATGTGCATGTATATATACGTATATACAAATATATTTGTGTGTATATATGCATATAGACTTGAAAGAGAGATAGAGAAAGGAAGATATGAAGTATGAACGTGTGTGAAAGAGAAAGGATGAATGGGAGAGAGATGATACATGGAAAATAACACGCGCACCTTATAGCCTACGTTCTTCCGCACCGATTTGATTTCCCGTTGCGAATCCAATCGCCTCCTTGTCCCATGTAGATCGTGTCGCGTGAACGATTATCGAGGATCGACTCGATTAATCAGGCCAACCCAAAAATACCATCAACTGTCGTTCTTTTTTGTACAGGATCGATACATTGGCAAGTGGTATTCGAAGTTTTTCTTTTCTTTCACGAATAAAATACTCAGCCTTTGTTTTGTTATTTCTCGGCGTAATCGAAAGATCTACACTTGTCAACGTGTTGAGAAAAGGAAAGATTCCTTTGAAAAAGTTTGATTCTCCTAGTGGAAGTGAAATAATTTTTCATTAACGATGGGTTGCCTGAAGACCTGAGAGATCAGTGAGCTGGTGTGTGCAGGGATCGCGGGATCGAAGCAATCCGAACTATAAATCCACAGACCCCCGAGAAAGGGCCGTTCTATCTTATATAGGCATCTAAGGACTACGTGTCTAAGTATGTATGTATCTGTAAGTTGTGTGTTAGTATGTGAAGCGTGGGCCATAGTGATGTAATGCCGATGAACACAGAGAAAGAAGAGAAAAGACGCTCGAGTCGGCGTCTAGAGCGTCTAGAGCGTCGAGGCGACCGTTAGCCCTTTCCTGTATTTTATTACGTGACTCTGAAGGAAAGAGAAAATGAAAAAAAAAAAACGAAAGAAAGAAATTAATTTAACATTCCTAATTCTGTTTTTGCGTAAACACTGGTTGAATTATCCAGAGGGGAAACAAGAAAGGGTTAACGGTAGCTGGAGACAACGTAAGATAACCCGCCGAGAAATCTAGTCTTATAGCGTAACTAATGCATTAATTATAAAACACTAACGAAGAGATAAAAGCACGCGAAGCGCGATCTACGTTGCCTTTCGCCCGACAGAGTACACGTATCCTCGAATCGTCTGGCGGGGTGAAGATGGCGTCGTTTTCATGGCCATCCTTTCCTTCTCCTTTGAGGAGCACCGAGAGATGACAACTCCTCTACACCGAGATGGCGGAAACCGTTAAACGAATCAATCATATCGAGTACCGTGAGTGAGAACACGCGCTAATTAATCCTAATTAATCGTACGTGCCAGGGAATCTCGTCCCTCAGGATGGACTAGAATAATAAACAAGAAGAGGAAAACGAAGGAGGAGGAGAAGAAGAAGAAGGAGGAACTCCGTGGGGCGAGGTGATCCCGCACAGAGCCGGACAAAAATAGTATTTACGATAGAAAATAGTGAATGAGCTTTGCGAAGAAGCTGTGTTTCGCGTGAACACGAACTGAAGCTGTTTTTTCAATGTTCGCTTGCCGCGATGTTTAAAGAGAGACGATAAAAGATAAAAACGAAAAAAAAAAAGACGAAGAAGAAGAAGCGAAGAAAACCGCCCCCGATTCACCCGTGTGTTACACTATCAACGTACAAACGATCTTACAGTTACTATTTTTTACTTAGAATACTATTTCCTCCAGCTCTGGCTACGGCCAAAACCATTGTATATATATATTAACGCGCATCTCCTTATTTTCTCAGTTGGAAAATCGCCAAGAAAAAAGTAAAAGGTAAAAAAAAAAGAAAGAAGAAAAGAAATCGCGTAAGAGGAATTATCGCGTTCCTTCTACTCGCTTCTCTCGTGAACTTTGTCTATCGTTCGCTGAATCATAATTTTAGTCCATCGCCATCCACGAGATCGTTCGTGTTAAATAGAATCGTGAACGGTGTCGAAGTCAAGTTAAAGCACGATGCAACTCACAGCGCCGAATTTTATATAAAGTATAACGAAATAATTCTCTCTCACTCTCTCTCTATCTTTCTCTCTCTCTCTCTCTCTCTCTCGAGGAGCTTTGTTTAACGCGACGAATATCCAAACGAATCCGCTGATCCTCGAGAGGAGTGCGCGCCTCAAATTCGCTGGAGCGCGCCGCCCTTCTTTATAAAACAAGTCGAAACTGCCGGTCTCTCTTTTCTCCTTTTTTTATTTTTGATAAGTTCCCACCGATTAGGGAGGATTATACATATATTGTAATAGAATATCGCGTCGCAATGCTGACTCTGCATTCTCACACACATTCCTCAGACACGATGTCGCTGTATCTACGTTAAGTGTGATAAATGCGGATTTAAGAAAAGAAGAATAGATAACGATTTGACGAGGCGCTGACGGCAACGACGGCGGCTAAAACACGACGAGGACGGCGATGACGAACCGCGTCCACGACGACGATGGCAATAATCGACGATGCTCTCGCGAAATCTGTCTTCTCTCGCTCGTAATAGTCCTCTAATTATCGTTCTAGCTAATTACGGATAACCGTTCTATCTCTGTACTTATCGATTATCCTTCTATTTATTCTATTTACGATAATCATTGATCCTTATTCCGCCGCGATCATCGTTGCTGTTATTGTTAATTGTTATTGAGATTGTTGTTGTTGCTGTTGTTATCGCTGTTTTCGACGCGTTCTCCCCTCACTCCGTCGTTGGTGTTGTCGTCGTGGTGGACATCGGCGTCGGCATCGGCGTAACCGAATACGCTAATTAAACAATAAGATACGACTATCGCCTACTCAATGTACAATATGTAGTATTTACCTGTTGTTACCACCAAACCGTCATCAAAGATATATAAAATATTGTAATTGTAACACATCGGTGTTGCTCCCATTCTATTCACCCCTTACTATTATTCGAAACCACTGTTCTCGTTTATTTTCTTCTTCTCGAGGTAAGTTATACTTGTTGAACAGAGCAATTTTATTTATTGCTATACTTAGCTTTTATTTACCGATAAGTATTTACAGACTTATATATATATATTTAAAAAGTTAAAGATATTCGTTGAACCATCGCCTGTCGTATTTCGAGATCCATTTATGGCAACCGAGCATATTGTTTTGAATGATATATTTCCAAGTCCATGGATTTAGATTTTCCTCTTGTAATTTTCTTTTATTCTCTGCCATTGTCTCCAACTTGCTTTGACTAACCGCCATCGCGTCGAAAGGCATTCTTTTCGCAAGATTTTCTAGAACTCTCTTCACCTACGGAAAGTGCACGAAAACTTACAAACCACGCGAACAATTGAAATAAAAGTTTCTAATACCTCAAAGAACTCGATCTTTCCTCCAACTTCAACGATAACTTGTCCCGCTTTTACTGGAGTTACGTAATGATCTATAGATCCTTTGCCACGACCCATACGCGATCCAGCACTCTATATTATGCGTCAATTATTTTTAATAATTGTAAATGATATCTAGCGAAGAATGATATTTACGAAATAACCTTTTTAGTAATTGGTTGCCAGGGATCCGGAACTCTCCAAATCGCGAATACCTTTTCGTAGTCGACATTCCTTACCAACATAAGACGGATCAACTCGAAATGACAATATTTCATTCGGCCACCACCTGTTGCCTAAAATGTTACGTTCTTTTGTTGAATAAAATCATTTTTCCTTAACTTTCCAAATTTACTGTCCATTCTCTTACTATTATGCCATACTGTTTGTGCAAAAGAGTATTATGGTACTCTTCGGGACCACGCATTAATCTCAACTTTTTTTGCATCTTATACGGACGTATTTGACTCGGCATTTGAGGTACTTTTGGAGCAATTCTCAGCTTGTTACGTTCCGGAAACTCGACATCTAAAAATTACAATTTTTCTCTTTCCTCTTTTCTTTAAATATAATTGTTCATTTTACATACCGTCGAATACAGGTGACGGTTCGAAAGACTGTAACCCGGCGACTGGTGCTGATTTCAACACACAATGGGCTGGAGGAAATAGTATGTAGAGTAAAACTGGTAGTTGTTCGAGAAAAAGATATTTATATAAAGACTTACGCGTCAAAAACAGTTTTGTGATATTCCTACACACTTGCATTTCGGCACCTTCACGTGAACCTTATACCTTTTTAACCTCAAATTGTTTTCTAGTGTTAGTAAAATATCGATTGCAAACCAGTAAAACCACTTCGATTATAAAAATCTTCGAAACACTGAGCTTTCAAAATTATTTTCTAGATTCTTATTAGTTTTTAATTCACATTTACGGTAATATTAACTCTCGAATGAATGAATGTAAACGTACTAGTTTTATTAGTGAGCTACTGCCAATAAAATCACGTCAAATAAGCCTAGATTTACGCTAGAAACAGAAATGCTTTAATACGCAATTTAAACATTTCAAATAATTTATTGATTTGTAGAGTACATTAAAGTGTACGTAACATTCATTTATCTCGATGCTTTATTATTTCTATTAACGCAATCATTACGATGACGAATTCTTACGAGATAATTAATACTTATATTTTTAGGAGATACAAAGTAAAAATAGGTAAAGTATAATAGTATTTATTATCTGTGATAGAGCATTTTTTAAGACGGAGAATATAACTGCTGCATAGTTTCCAACCACAGTACCAAGATCGTGACATCTGCTATGCATTTCTAAGAGCCATAAACGAATGAAATGTCCCTAGACAGAAACTACGTTATGGACGACGTACGCCAACGCTATAGTTTTATAATGACTACTTGTTGATTTAATTACAGACAGCGTACAAAATAGACCTATTATCTTTATGTCTCAGAGGTTTTATCACAGACGAGGTACGAATAGATCTAACATCTAATGCATTTTTTCATCCCACGTCAAGAAGACTGTGAGTGCCCTTACCATTTGTGTATTGCTTCCAACGTTACCGTTTCGAAGTGTTTTCCGGACTTAAATATATTGTTTATTTAATTCTGTAATGGAGTATTATTTAAAGAATGAGTGAATAAATGATTCATTTTTTATGAAATAATTACATTTCTTGATGTTTCCTGATGTTCAAGACCTTTTCTTGATTTCTATCTGTAATACACAAAAAATGAACGTTAATTGTTCAATTTTCTATAAGAATTATAAACAATTTCTAATTAATCTACTACGTACGATTGTTAATTCAATAAGAATTCAATAAATTAAGCTGGTTTAATAAGTTAAAGCACGCAAGAAGTTTATTTAATACTTTCAATAATTATATACCACTACCTATATTGTTATTTAACGAGAAACTCCAATTATTCTATAATTAAAGTACTTGGACATAAAGCAGAAACTGCATTTTACTATCTACATTATTAGTAACGTTAAAAGAATTAAAAGAATTAAGAATTGAGTATAAGTATCAATTAAACATAATAGGGATGACGAGGATAGGACTACAGTAATGAGTTAGACAAGGAAAGGAATAGTGATAGACAAGGACAGAAAAAATGACGATCTGAAGTAACGCCATCTCGTGTTTAGTGACGCGAACTACGATTTCTTAATAGGAACACATCATATAAACAGAGGTATTAGACAAGGAAAGCACTAGTGTGCGACAAGGACAGAGAGAGAGAACGCTTCTCATTGGCTGGCGGGCCGCCATGCTCCACCAACCAGGCCCTAAATAAATCGGTCGATGAGAAATCGTTAATAACTCGATAATTAGGGTGATTTTGTGAACTTTTAGAATTGAAGAATAAAGTGTAGACCTTCGGCAACTTTCACGTATAATTTTTAAGGCTCTAGGACCTTGCAATAATTAGTTATTAATATTAATATCGGGACCGATACGGCAGTCGCTTACGCAACATCAAGCCGGTCGATGAAAAATCATTAATAACTCGATAATTAGGACGATTTCGTGAACTTTTAGTATTGAAGAATGAAGTGTGAACCTTCAGAAACTTTCACGTATAATTTTTAAGGCTCTAGAACCTTTCAATAATTAGTTATTAATATTAATATCGGGACCGATACGGCGATCGCTTACGCAACACTAAATCGGACAGAGAGAAATCATTAATAACTCATTAATTACGATGATTTTGTAAACTTTTGGTATTGAAGAATGAAGTGTATACCTTCAGCAACTTTCACATATAATTTTTAAGGCTCTAGGGCCTTTCAATACTTAGTTATTAATATTTGTTGTGCGAATTGTCGGGAACGATGGACAGTCCCTTACGGTTTTTCATTAATACCATTGTTCAGGATTAATTTCCTATACAGTTATCATATGGATCTGAAAGGGAACACCTGTGGCTACATTCTTCTATAATTTTTATTAATATATCCCTCCTGGTTCGACAGTTATTTATCAATCTATGGGTGAGTATTACACCCGTCGCAATCGAGCGTAACATATCTACGTTATTTCAATAGATATGCGTGGTAAATTGTGCACTTTTAAGCATGCAGAATGTAGAACAGACTTTTATTTACATTCTCCAATAATTTTGGTAGGCGTCAGTAGTGTGGTTTATTTGATATTAACAATTGTTTATAACAATCGACTGTACTCGAGTGCGATGAATAGGCGACTTTCTCACATAATATTTAATAACACGTAAAACAAACGGAATATGTTAACAAAACTTATATGGGAATGTAGCTAAAGGAGTTGTCTTTCAAGCGCATATACTGAGTTGTATGAGAATTTAGTAGAAAGCTATGAAATTATCGAAAAACCGTAAAAACGCTCGACAGTATGCGGTATCGTTCTCGACATGCCGCACTAAAGTTGTTAATAACTAATTATGGAAAGTACCTAGAGCATTAAAACTTATACGTGAAAGTTGCTGAAGGTTTACACTTCATTCTTCAATACCGAAAGTTCACAAAATCATTCTAATTAACGAGTTATTAATGATTTTTCTCTGTCCGATTTGATGTTGCGTAAGCGACTACCGTATCGGTTCCGATATTAACATTAATAACTAATTATTGAAAGGTCCTAGAGCCTATAAAATTATATGTGAAAGTTGCTGAAGGTCTATACTTCATTCTTCAGTACCAAAAGTTTATAAAATCATCGTAATTAATGAGTTATTAATGATTTCTCTCTGTCCGATTTAGTGTTGCGTAAGCAACTGCTGTATCGGTCCCGATATTAACATTAATAACTAATTATTGAAAGGTTCTAGAGCCTATAAAATTATATGTGAAAGTTGCTGAAGGTCTGCACTTCATTCTTCAATACCAAAAGTTTACAAAATCAACGCAATTAAGGAGTTATTAATGATTTCTCTCTGTCCGATTTAGTGTTGCGTAAGCGACTGCCGTATCGGTCCCGATATTAACATTAATAACTAATTATTGAAAGGTCCTAGAGCCTTAAAAATTATACGTGAAAGTTGCTGAAGGTCTACACTTTATTCTTCAATTCTAAAAGTTCACAAAATCGTCCTAATTATCGAGTTATTAACGGTTTTTCATCAATCGGCTTGATTTAGGGCCTGAAAGGTAGAGCTCACCGGCCCGCCAGCCAATAGGAAACGTTCTCTCTCTGTCCTTGTCGCACACTAGTGCTTTCCTTGTCTAATACCTCTATTTATATCCTGTGTTCCTATTAAGAAATCGTAGTTCGCGTCACTAAATACGAGATGGCGTTACTTCAGATCGTCATTTTTTTCTGTCCTTGTCTATCACTATTCCTTTCCTTGTCTAACTCATTACTGTAATCCTATCCTCGTCATTCCTCTTATATTTAATTGATACTTGGAATCAATTTTTACTTGCTTTAACATTACTGCTGATGTAGATAGTAAAATACAGTTTCTGCTTTATTTTCAAGTTCTTTAATTATAGAATAATTAGTATTTCTTGTTGAATAACAATTTAGATGGTGGTATACATATAATTATTGGAAGTCTTAAACAAAATTGTTGCATGCTTTAACTTAGTAATATAGCTTAATATGGTAATTTCGCATTGAATTGACAATTGCACGCAGTAGGTTAGCTAGAAATTGTTTATAACTTCTATTGGAAATTGAAAAATTAATGTTTTTTCGGTCATGAATTACAGTTGGAACTTTACTGCGTGCAATTGTTAATTTAATGCGAAACTAGTAAATTATGCTGGTTTATTGAATTAAAACACACAACAATTTTATTTAGTACATGCAATAGTTACAAACTACTATATAAATTATTATTTAACAAGAAACACTAATTATTCTTCAATAATAGTACTTGAAAGTAAAATGAAAACTTTAGTTTACTATCTACATTTAACAAAGGAGCATCTGTTACATCTGTCGGCTTTACCATCTTTGATGGTTGATTTGAATACAATTCCTAAAGTTACTACTCTAAATCGTAGAGTATATCAGAACGTCGGTACATCAGAACGTGCGGCACAAAGTTCCACAAGGTGATTGGTCTATTCAGTATATGGTCTGTGGTGATGGGTCTATTCTGTATCACGTCTGTGGTTTAACGTTGAAACAGCTGATTCGAATCGAAGTGTCAAAATATTATCAAAAACGTATACTATATCTTTCTTTATTCGTTTATCTGACTATAAGTGACTGAGAAATTAATAAATATTTCATATTCACCGAAGATATGTACTGTCTACGCGTAAATGTTCGAGAAAATGAAACCTTCCCAGGAATTGTACTTTGTTGCAAACCTTGTCAGCTTTGTTTTCGTCTTACATCGTACCACCTGTGAACGAATATCATAAATTTTCTAATAAAACCTAACAATGACGGATACGGAGAAAATTTTCGTTTGTTCCTCATCTGGTTGCAGTATGGTGAATGAAGAAAATTATTTTTGTTAAGAATGAAGTACATTTTGTGTGAATCTTAACTAAATTCTCCCCAATTTTTATTTGAATTAACCTACATATTAACTTGTGATTATTAAACTGTACATTTTACATAATTTCAATGGTTTTCTTTAGAGTTTTACCAATGAGGATCAGCTGACGGTGCACAAGAAGAAGCATGAGATGATGTTGAACCTTGGAAGTGGTTCAAAGAGTGGTGGATTTGTTAGTAAGTATTATTGTTTGATAAAATTGTTCATTTATGGTCCTTGAAATAAAAGTCAGAGTGAGTAAAAGATATTTTAAACTTTTTATAAAATATACAGCTGACCAAACACCCACACCGACGCGCTTTATCAGAAACTGCGAAGAAGTTGGCCTCTTTCAGGACTTACAAAATGTGAATCCCTTTGAAGAAACATTCAGAAGAGCTGTGGAATCAGGGAACACTGGTACACTTACAGTACCAGAGGTAAATAATTCAATTAAAATAAACGCAAGTACTCTCTTAATAGAATTACCACACAAGTGTTGCTGCAGGTTGGAATTACAGATGATACTCTGCACACACCTCATATATTCCCCCATATAGCTGATGTATTGTCTAACAGTAATCAAATATTGTCCGAGAACACTGTGCAAGAATGTGGAAGCATCTCAATTACAGAGAAAAGCACAGAGGAGAGAACTACCATCGATACCGAAGTCTGTACCAACGTGAAATTGAGCGAAACTGACGAGCAAGATTTAATCAAAGGGAAATTAACGGTAGAACGGAATGTTACGTTGACGGAAAATATCATCGAACAAGTAACACGCACACCGATATTACCGAAAATTTTACAGGAACAACCTTCTCCCCAATTGTGAGTAAACGACGAATTTTCAAACTTTTCGAATGTGCACGTTTAGCGGGAGAATAGAAATAAAGAAGAAATATTTATTTAGATCGTTCAACGGCGAGGAGGTGCAGCTACTGTTAAAAACGTCCGATGGAAAACTAATGCAATTATCAGCGATTCCAGTTTACGATTCTATTAGCACAACCAACACACAATCCTTAAGGCAACAAACAGTGGTAATAAAAACGGAACCTCCTTTACAATGTAATACAAGGGTAGAGTTGAAAAAACCTACGGTCTCTACGCTATCTCTGGCGAAAATGGTACTTTACTGTATCCACTATATGTATATTAAAAAAAAAAAAACAATTCTTTTTATTCGCGTTCCTTTTTTTTCTAAACGAATATTTCACGAATCCTTGTAGAAATTGAAACAGTAAGAAAGAAAATCGAAATAAACCGATGGAAGATCAGTTGAAAAAGAAAGAAATTCTCGAACGTAATCGTGCTAGTTCTATGAGAGCAAGAGCCAAAAGAAAAGCGTGGATACAACAGCTCGAGAGGACTGTAGCTAACGTTAACGAGACTAACGTGGCTCTACAAATGGAGGTAAAAGTTCTGCGATCAGAAGTGGCCAAATTAAAGACACTTTTACTAGCCCACAAGGATTGTCCCGTGACGAAAGCGATGCAGAAGGGTAATTTCAGGGGTATACAAATAATCGTACTTGGTTCGATAATCGTATTTATTTAATTACATTATTATTTTACAGGCAATGGTATAGTACTTGGTCCGAAAATAATATCGGTAAACTCGGACGGTATAAACAATGAAATTTCAATGACTCCTTCGATGAAACGAACGACCACGTTCTGTTCGTCAGAGGTGCCAATCATGCCAAAGAAAAAACTATCTTTAGCATCTGCGAAAAACCCGGTGATTTTCCCAAAAGTAGATTGTAGTACAAATCTATCAATTCCCAATGCTACTTTAATTAAAACGGTACCAACGCTCAAGATCATGGGGGTCGGTCAATTATTAACAGAGAAGGAGGAGACTAAGCAAATTTTTATCGTACAAAACCCAGCGAAAAAGGTGGAGAACTCTAGTAGGCAAATTATTCAAATAAACCCTAATTACGAAACTGAACAGAACGCGTCGAAACCTAACGAGACGTAAAAAAGAGAAGATCCATTCGTTGAAAGTCTTTCATACAAATTTTGCTCAAACAGATAAAAGACAGAGAACCCGAAGTTCGACGATCGGTACATTTATATTCGTGTAATAAATGCGTAGCATCGTGTGCATGATTGCTTGCAAACCAGCGCGTATAAGTACGTCTTCGCGAGAAAGATCTTTTATTATTTATTTTATTGTAATAAAGCTGAGTATTTTCTAACGACGTGTCTATTTTTATTTTATTCCAAGAAATCTACCAGGGAAAGGGGTAATCGAATAACGAACATGTGCTGAATTATACTTTACGCATTCTTTATTTTACATCAGTTAAAAAAAAACCTGTCGAATATACAAGATAAATTCTCCCATCGATTCTCAAGTTCCAGAGTCTCGTCCGCACACATCGGTTCCCACAAGTCCCACGATGCTTCTGTGACCCTCGGGCCCTTATCAGTTCTCCGTCCAGTCGTCTAACAATTCTACACCGGACAGGAGAATGATAAGGGGCTTTGGGCACGAAATCTCTCCGTTTAGAAGCTACCAAAAACTCCAATTGCCCCTTGATGTCGAATCGTTTCCCTTGTCGATTCTGTAAAAATAACACACTTTTATCTACCACTTCTCACTCTCCTATCGTTCCTTCTTTCTTTTCCCTCGCATGAATGACGGTATTGATAGAAAGAACAGTAATTGACTCTTTCTCTCTACACGCCGAATGGTATGCATTTTATCGCGTAATTTTATCTAATCGCGAAGAAATTTATGTTTGTCCCCTTGAACGATTACATAGAATGTGCCGAGTTAGCGTGACCGATCTCATATTTTGCCGGCGACTCTCTATGGGCGAGAAGAGAGATATCGTGGATCGTGGTGAAAAAGGCCTGTGCTTTTCGACAAACAAGATTTCCGTCCCTTGAGTCACGCGAGTGACTCATGTCCAGAACTACAACGGGCCAAGTGAGATGTAACCTGAATTTATCGGTTACTCTGTAAATACCAACGGCTTTCCTATACCGATAAGCCCTTCTCCTCTCCTCGATAGGGAACAGAGATACTTTTCTTCTTTCTCGTGTTACCCAATGCGGAACAGGGTTTCGTATCTTTTGCGGAAAGAGCAACCGGGTAAAATTTTCGGAAGAGATAACACAGCGGAGGGATAATTGAGACGTGGATCGGTAACGCGAGACGCGAAACAATGTGCTTCGTTACGGCGACAATGCCGATAAGCATTGTCGGGTGTTCGGTGTCTTCAAGAAGAGAGGATCCGATGAATTGTTGTATCTCTCGGTTATCTGTTAGGTAAGATTACAGGCGTGGATCGATGTTAATTAAGAAAGGCTGTTTCAATTCGCCGGTCTTCTCCCGTCCCAACCGATGGAATTTTCTACAAAGGATAGATAAAAAAAGGTTCGATTAATAACAAGAAGAAGAATGACCGATGAGTACTTAAACTCGTTATACTTGCGATTTCAACTGGTCACATAGTTCTGGGAACCCCAACACACTTGCGCGTTTTCGTCTTCGAAACCATGGCCAGAAATAGATCTCGTGGCAGCAAACCGAGCCTCCCGACATTCACGGCCCTGAATCAAGCTCGCGTGGCTATTATACAACACGCGCAATCTTCTAACCTTGGTCCAGACCGGCCGCGGTTTCTTTCGATCCCGCGGAATCCGCGAGTAAGTCTTGTTTAATCCATGGAAAACAGCGGAGATACCCTTCTCGCTTTTTATCCAAGCTCAATTAGCACAACCTTGTTTCCCAAGCGCGAAAAAAATTAGCAATTTGGTCTCTTCTTTCTAACGACGTTAGATAACGATGTTTCGAGGGTATTTCAGAGCAGGAGGAGTGTAAGGAGATTGCCCTTTTATGGGGTTTCCAGCGATCAACGGCCCGCGGGGCTTAATTGATCCGATATCGATCGAATCTACTGTGAATTGAGAAAAGAGTAGGAAGGCGCGACACGACCCAGTTTTTATCGACTTCGCCGGGCTTCAATTTTCTCCCCGATTTCAACCAGACCACATATCGTCGAATGCCTCGTACGACATTGTTGCAGTATACTCGAAATTAATCTCACAATTCCCCCACGGTTCAGCGAACGAATCGCGCTTTGGTAGATAAGTACGCGTTATCTATCATACACTACGCGATATCTGTCTTCTAAAGCCGTCTTGATCTTTCAATAATTTACAACTGCTTAGAATCTGGATATAGAGCATTAGAATACATTTCTTTTCCACCAATTTTCCAATGGACTCTCGACGATCGAAATCGTCCCAACGCTTACCGACAATTCGTATTTAACGCACCGATAAGAAGAAGGTTAAACGTATCCCAGAGAAGTTCTCTCACGATGCTCGAGTAACACGTGGGCCAAGCACACGTGCTTCACAGGCCGGAGAACCGAGGAGGAAGGAATTGTTCGCGAAGGAAGATCGGCGCGAAACGAATATTTCGGGAGGACCTGGATACCACGAACGTTAGAAACAGCGCGAAATGGTAACATTGTATGACGCGACGCGAGGCACTACTGTTTATTTTGCTCGGTCCCTCGGAGAATTTCACGCACGAACGGTCCCTTCTTTTCTTCCTCGCCGTTCTTCTGTTTCCGGTCCTTCGAGAAACTTTGTAGTCCATATTTATCTCTGAAACGTTTATTCCGTACCGCTTGGACTCGAAACAAACGAACTGCGAGCGAAAGACTGTTAGCGTTATTGTCCACCGATTGAGCGAAACACCGTTCGAAGAATATTTCTAGGATAACTAAACAAACACTTGAAGTAGAATTGCTCGAGTCGCGGTGGAAAACCGCGATAAGAGTTAGGCGAGCGCGTCAATCTCGGAAGTCTATCGTTGGAGAAGTTGCGGTTTTCACGGGGCGACTGGACCCGTTTTCACGCTCCTGGCCGAGACAATACGCGGTCCGATAGCCTTGAGACACACGTCTGCTTCTTTTTATTTTTACATCTGACCCGAGACAACGGCACACTCTCTCGCTCCTCTGGTTTCCCCTCGCGAGAAACAACTCTCCAGCGAAAAAACGTCCTCCCCGATCGCTGGCTCGCGCGCTACTGACACCGTCCTCGCCCTCCACGAAACTCATTTCCCTGGCTGACCAAACGGACATACGCGCCACCACGATCAACCGAACCAGTCTCGTCTACTCTAACCTGCTGCTGTCCCGTGTGCAGACTCTGGTCTTTGACCGGTCACATGGCGCGAACACCGGAGAGCGGCCGCGGCCGATCGATCTGCGTCCAAAATACCCTCTACACCAGCCTCTCTGCTCTCCCTCTCGCTCTTTCCATCTTCATCCCAAAGCTCTCCACGCACTGCTTCTGATCCACCTCTAAATTCCTCTCTCTTCTCTCTTTTTTTTCTCCTTCGTTAAAACTCGCGGTGGAAACTGTCTGCTGAAATGAAAGCACACACGACACACGTATGCACGGTAGAGCGCGAGCGTTCCTAGAGTACACCACGTTGTATAGGAAACTTTTGAGAAACACGAACCACGGGGGAAACCACGAGCGAGAACATTCCATTTCCGTTTTGTCTGTTAAGAGGAAGAGAGAGAGAGAGAGAGGAGCGAGCACACGCAGAGAGAAAGAGCCAATCGTGCAGGACCCACGGTGCTGGATGCTGATGTAACGAAACCGGGGATTGGTCGACCCGTATTTCTATGACGACGTTCGTGAATGATTTCGACGCGAAAGAGAGAGGAGAACGTCGCGGGAACGAAGCGTCGCGAAATGTGTCTCGCGCACTACTGAGTCGAGCCCGTTCGGCACGATCGGATTCGGACGCGCGTTTCGGCCAGTGGCCACTGTTTTGTGCGCCAGAGAGGAAGGAAGTGCGTCTCTTTCTGCTTTTCGTTTGTCGTCCCTGTCGGCCTGTGTGAGTGGCGCCATCTTTGAATTTCCCTCTCTTTCGCCGCAGCTCCCTTCTGACCCCCACTTTCACTGTTTCAACGTGCCAGCCTCCCTTGCCCTCGCGCTCTCCCAGCCCTCTCGTTCGTCTCTTTCGCACGCTCTTCTTCTGGCTCGTCCCTCGCCAGAGAGGTCGTTTGCCAGTCCCTTTTTCAGTCTCATTTTCCAAACTTCTGTCCCCTTTGCTTTCCTTCCAATAGCGGCGGAGAGAGGGAAAGGAAAATTCACAGCGATAGAGAACTCTGATGTATCGAGAAAGAAGGAGAAAATTATTCTACGGATAAGGGAGGAATTAACGAGGAACATAGAACGGTAAAATAAATATCCTGTAACGTAGAGGTTTGGCTAGGGCCGAAGCTAAGGGTGGTTTCTAAGAGGCCGAAGGAGGAACCGCGCCGAGAGCCTCTTCCGGTCGATTTCACCGGGCCGCTCGATGACGTTTTTCGCCTGGTTACCGTAACTACACCCCGTTCGCCGGTTTTAATTACGTATTTAGACCAGGACCACCAACCGCCACACCACTTCTCCCCCGATGATGTCCTTCCAAGCTAATTAAAAAGCGCCGCGAGCGTCTCTTAATTCCCCGTGGAAGCTAGCCAGGAGTTCGCTTTTCATCTTCGGAATCGCGTTCTCTGGCGATAAAGGGTTGTGCCACTGCCACTCGAGCGTGCAACCGATGGGAAAGATCGCGGCCAAAAAGTGTAACCGATCTCTCCCGATGCGAACTAACCGAAGATTAAAACGGAAGGATTTCGCGTGACCTAGTGAAACGAATCGGCGAGAGGATCTCGAGGAAATTAGAGAAGGGTAAATTAGAAGTCGCTCGGAGCAGAAGGGGCAGAAAAGAAGATGGTGGTTAAAGTACGGCGAAAAGCTAACCGAGAGGGTGGTAAGCAGATACTAACGCCGGTGTTCGTCGAGCCAAGTGACTCGATATCGGGGAGTGTCTCGGCGTTAGCCCCGAATTAATTCCTCAGGGTGGGCCGGGGGATTCTCCATTACCAGCATGGAACGAGCAGCGGTAAAGTGTCCCGCCTTAAAAAGAATACCTGCACACAACCACCACCACCA